GCGACGCGATGCTGCAGTCGCGCTTGAGCAGTCGTGTGTTGCCCACGGCGGCGGTCTCCAGAGCCGCCTCGGGGATGGGAATGGTTTTACCGACAAGAATGTCGCCGCCCAGTACGGGCATGCCAGGCTTTATGAGACCGTCCGCGTCCAGCTTCGTGTAGTCCGCGCGCTTGACGCGACAAATGTTACGGTCTGGGTTTTCAAACATCTCGCGACCGTCCTTTTTGCGCTCCTCGGACGCCTTGTAGGAGCGCCAGAACGCGCTGCGGAAGAAGCCCCGCTCCACCGCAGAGCGGCTCATGATGATGGAGTCCTCCTGGTTGTACCCCGAGTAACAGGCGATGGCCACCACCGCATTGTGCCCAGCAGGGAGGTCGTTGCTTCGCATGTACGACATCGCCTTTGTTCGCACAAGCGGTTTTTGCGGGTAAAAGAGCACGTGCGCCGTGGTGTCCATGCGCATGTTGAAGTTGGACGCGTAGATCCCCATGGCCTGTTTTCCCATCGCAGATTGGTACGTGTTGCGCGGCGACTGGTTGTGGTTCGGGTAGGGAATGATGGAGGCGCAGATGCCAAGAATCATCGACGGGTCCATCTCGCAGTGGGAGTAGTAGTAATTTTTGCTCACCTCCGCCAGCGTCATGGCGATAAGCAGCGAGTCCTCCTCCTCGCAGTCGATGAGTTCAACGTAGCCCTTCTTCATGACCCGGTTCCACGAAATTTCACGCTTCCCGCCAGGCGTCTTGGACGGCTCCAGCAGCTCCCCAATGCCAGTCTTCTGCAGCTTGATGCGCGACTTCTCAACGACAAAGAGCGGCCGCAGACACCTACCGCCGTCGGAGAAGACACGAATCTCTCGGTCGCGGATGTCACGCACGATGCTCACCTCGTTGCTGAGTTCCCCACCCCGACGTCGCGCGCGCAGCTCGCGGAGCAGGCGCTCCGGATCGCGGTGTACGCCGATGAGTGTCCCATTCACAAACACCCGCACCACCCGCACATCGGCAAGGCCGGCAAGGTCAATAGAGTGGAACCCGGTAATACGCGCCTGCACCGCCTGCACCACGCCTGTGTGATCGCTGCCACGAGAAATGAGACACATAAGTGCCAGATTTTTCAGCAGGCCAATCGACCCGCCCTCTGGAGTCTCCACCGGACAGATGTAGCCCCACTGGGTGCAGTGCAAGTTGCGTGGTCGGGTGGCTTTGCTCGAGGCGGAGATGGGGTTCTGAATGCGGCGCAGGTTACTCAGGGAGGAGGAGTAGGTCAGTCGGTTGAGGGTCTGCGCCACCCCTGTCTTGATGTTGCCGGTCTTCAGGTCTCCAAAGTTGCCCGTGGCAAGGCAGCGGCGCAACCCATCTGTGATGAGGCGACTGTGCAGAATTCTGCCAAAACTGACAACGCCGCCGCGGTTGGTTGAGTAATCGTGCACGGTCTTTGTCATCTCCTTTCGCACCTGCACAAGGAATTGGTTCAGCTGAAACGTGAGCAGCGCCCCGGCGACGTCAATGCGCTTGTGGCCCAAGAAGTCACGGTCGGTGTCCTCCCTGCGGCCGAGCGCGAGGAGCAGGAGGCGGTGAACCATGTAGCCAAGAAAGAGACATTTGCCGCGATCGGCAGCGCAGTCGACGCCCATGTGTGGGAGCAGGTCCCGCATCAGTAGCTCCTGCGCCTCCCGCTGCAGATTTTCTCGGCTGTCTTGTTTACCAAGTCGCTTTCCAATGAACCACAGCGCCTCATCCCTGGTGAATATCTGCAACGTGCTCGCATCCTCCATGGAGCCGCGCAGCATTTCAAGCATGGCGGCATCTTTTAAATCGGGAACCACCGTTTGGAGAATTTCCTTATCCGACCCCATGTCCAGTGCGCGGAAAAGCACAAAGAGGGGAATGAGCTCATCCATCTGTGCCACGCGGCAAAGCAGATTCTCGTAGCCGTGACCCGGACCCTTCTTCTTGTAGGGCATTAATATTTGCAGCGTACGGGGCTTATTCAGCGAGCCCTCCACAATAGACTTGATCTCACACAGGAGCCCTTTTTGCCGTGTGAAGGCGTACACGTGATTGGCGGCCTGACGCTCCTGCGCAATGAGGACCTTCTCGGTTCCATTAATGACAAAGTAGCCGCCCTGGTCGTGTGGGCACTCGTTTAGTCGCGGCAGCTCATCCTCGTCCTTGTTCTGCAGGTTGCACCGCATGGACCTTAGCATGATGGGAATGCGTCCGAGCTCCATGTTTTGCAGAAAGGTGCGGTACGGCTGCTCCTCCCGGGAGCGGTACACGCGAATGCCGAGCGTGACCTGCGCGTTGGCGTCGTAGGTTAGGTCGCGCAGGCGGCACTCGTTGGGGAAGAGCGGATGCATCTCTTGTCGGCTGAAGCCGGAGACCTCGTGCGACGGGTTGCCAATGACCACGTCCTCGAGACTGAGTCGGTATTGGTCCGGCTCCGCCTCCGTCTGGGCACCGGGCTCGAACTGCTCATCCTGGCGCGGCACAATCTCCAGCAGGCTACGCGCCATGCGGGGGATGCGCAGGAGAAAGTCATTGTACGAGTCAATCTGCTGGTGCACAAGCCCCTTCTCACGGAAGAAGGAGGAGATGATCTCCCACGTGTCCTCGCTGTCGATGTCGGTGGAGCCGGCATGCTCGCCCTCCGCGGCGTAGTCCACCCTGTCGTCGCCGAGGTCCTCCGCCTCGTTCAGCTGCAGCAGCAATTCGTCGTCCATCGCTGGCCGCAGTCGCCCTCCCTCAGGTCCCCAGCACAATGACGCACACGGCGCAGAGTAATCCTGCAAAGCACCGACAACACCACCGACACACAAAAAAAAACAAGAGAAAGAACGGGGAACACAAACATAAGAATAAAGTAGCCAACGGCACACTCGGGAGTGGCATGCGGTGGAACTCATTCATCGTTGCCTGTCGCCCAAGTGTAACGTTGGACAGACGCAGAGGGTGGCAAAAAAAAAACACAAGGTTTCTGTTTCACCACTAGAAAGGGGAGGATGCACAGACACACACTCACATACTCGCATACAGAAGGAAAAACAGCGAAGAGGAAAAAAATAATAAAGAAACGCAGAGACACTCCAAAAGGAAAAAACAAAAACAAAAAGTGAAACGGCTAGAAGGCAACCCTCGTTTTTTATTTTTATTCTGTTTTGAGTGTCTTGTGCACTCAGCGGCGCCCCGCGGAGTTATCCAAGGAGATCGCCATGAGCTCAATGTCCTTNTTCAGTCGGTAAATGGCGGCGAGCTCCGCCTCTCGCA